CCCCAAGTGTATTGGGTAAGGGTAGTGTTATTTTTGGACATTGGTATTTTAATTAGTTATTGTAGTTTTATTATACTGTAAGCCAATTCAATTACAGTTTTGTAGGGACATGGGATGTGACTATTTTAAATTAAATTAAGAAACGTTTGCTTCGTAGATATACCTTTGGTATCTTTGACATCAGTAACTAAAAGCTCAGCACGTTAACATCAGCCTGAAATGCAGCATTCTTCCCTACCTCCCCATTCACCTTCCACTTTAGCACTGCCACTCAGATTATGCTACAAAAATAAACAGAAGAGGGACAGAAAGGATACTGCAAGAGTTACAGCCAGACACACCCGTGCAGAAGTGTAATAGCTCAAAGCTAAAACCATGGCTTTGTTTGGGTGTGTGGGGTTCCCCCCCCCCCTCTTCCCCATTAGAACCTCTGCAAGAGAACATTCAGTTGCAGGATTTATTGGAACTCCTTTCAATACAAGGCTGGTAAGTCCCAGATCTGCACTCACATATGCTATTCTTAACAGAAAACTTTAGAGTTGTGGAGGAAGTTGGTGACACACACACACCAGCTGGGCGAATAAGAAAAATCACTCATTCAGTTTTCAAGGAGACAGGAAGGATGTTGGGAGGCCATGGGAATGAGGGCCATGAGAATGAGGGCCATGATGGAGATAAGCCTAAATCACAGCACTTAAAGAACAAAGACCCATCATTCAACACCATCCAGAGCTTCCCTAAATCCTTGAGGTAGGGAAGAATATGAATGCAAAACAAATAAGAAAATGCTATAGGCTCAAATGATAGGAAGGTTTGTCTCATGGTTGATCAACTGAGAAAAAGTGCTAAAAGTGGCACTGGCAGCAGAGATTTGTAGTACTCCTAGACCCAGGCGTGGCTATGGCATTGTTAAACATCTGCCTCATGTCCCATGCTTCACTACTCCCCATCTCAGTAAACTACAGTCAAAACCTTACCAAGACCTATGGTAAGGTTTCTAATGAACTACGGTGGCATCACTTACAGGTCAAAGTACATGAAACACTAGGACATCCATGAGTGGACCTCTCTCTCGTTCCCAATAGGTAAAAGCCATAGAGAACCCGCATCTGTGATCTAGATTGGGACCACAGCATAGAGAAGCAGAAGGAATTGTCTCATTTATCTTGCACCCAACTTCATTGCTATTTCTTTATTAAAATATTTTTATCCCACCTTTCCTTGTGGCTCAAGGAAGCTAACAAATCATAATTTAAAACACCATAATTTAAAACTGACAAAATAAAACCCCAAATAACCCCTTCTCCCCCAAAAGATACCTGCAGTTTACACCCCATTAAAAGCTCCAGCAAATAAAATGGCCTTGATGTAACTCTCGAACATTTCTAAAGATTTAACCCCACCTCACCTCTTCAGGGAGATTACTCCACAGAGTGGGAGCTACAAAAGAGAAGGCACATGCTGTGGTGTTAGAGAATGAGTTTGATATTTTGCTTTATGGACTATATTTATTGCTACACACACAATGGACTGTGCACACACACACATAGGCTCAGAGAACTGTACATTTTAAGTCTCCTGTTGTGATGTAACACATAGAAGGTGCCTATACAAGGCTTACATGTGAATAAGGTTTCAGCTACATAGTTACCAGCCTGGTGAAGAAGCACACACCTCCATTATGGTGAGCAGTAAGAAACAACAACTTGAGTAGAGACAGCCCCCATTGCAGAATCATTTGTGGTCATGTACGACACATCACTGCTTTGTTCCTGCATTGGTTTTTCCTGCCAAATGGACATTTGGTTCACAATGAGAATGGCCAGCTTCATCAACACTACAATGGAGCATCCTGACGCCAAGGTTTTCACACCTGCCCAGATGCCCTCCTTTGAGTAAGGTTTTAGATTACAATATTGGCCACTCCTTATAGGTAACCTCCCACTCCTATAGGCAACCAATAGGATTGTTTTTGGGACGGACTAACAGGTAGGTGGGTCCACAGGTTGGAACAGTTACCACCCATCTAATGGACCCACTATAAAAGGTAAGGACCATTCACCTGGCCCTTCCTAGCTAGCAACCCCCGCAACAACCCCTGTCTGCTTTTTACTCCTCTTGAGTCCTACTTGCTATCCCCAAACCCTTGCCTCTACTTTGATCTCTTGATCTGCAGTCAAGAGACCCACACGTTCTGGCTGGTTCTGGTTGTGTTTGAACTCCCTTTAGTTTCTATTTCTCCCTATACATTCTAAGGAACTTGATTGAATGTGTGAGTGCATCAGTATTGTTTGTATGAGATTTATTTTTCTTAAGTAAAAGACATTTATTTTAACAACAACAGCCTCGTTATCCTTCTCTGGTAACCCTTGGTGGGAACAGGACCTTGGTATAGTTGGCAAGGACCCATTTATAAATTGCCAATTGCTGTAAATAAAGCAATTCAGCTAACAGTGGCTAATGCCAGGCAGGCTCTATTAAAGAACAGCCAGTAAGGTGTAATTTGAAGACCATAGTTGGTGCACAGGAGATATATGGGAAGAGACAGTCTTACAGATATGTGGACCCTAGGTTGTGAAGTGCTTTAAAGGTCACAACCATTGCCTTGAATTGGGCTCAGAACTGGCAGCCAACATAGCTATTTTAAAATAGGCAGAATGTGTTTCCTACCAATAATCGGGCTGCCGCATTCTGAAGCAGCTGAAGTTTCCAGGTTGCCTTAAAGGAAAGCCCAGCACAGAGCACACAGTAGCCCAAACTCAAGGTTACAAAAGCATGGATTACTGTGGCCAGATCAGCCAAGTCAAAGAGGGGCATGAGCTGGTGAACCAAATGCAGCTGATAGGTCAACTTGGCCATTATACCAATCTACTTTTCAAATACCAAGGCTGGATCCATGAGCACTCCAAGCTCTTAACTTGCTCTGCAAATTCCAGCTCCGATGTATCACTACAAACATCAGCTTTCCTAACGAGCATCAGCTTTGTCTTGTCTAGATTCAGCTTCAGTGTAAAAACAACACTTCAAAGTACTGGTTCAGAGCCAAGGCAAATTTAGATAATGAAATACAGAGCTGGGTGCTACCTGCATACTGATGTCACTCACCCCCAAAGCTATAGACAATCTAATTCAGCAGCCTTGTTGAAAAGCATAGGTAACAGAATAACCCTGTGGCACTCCACAGGACAAACTGATTCTGCTGCTGTGATGGAAACTCTCTGTCCAATTAGACAGAAAAAACAGAAGCCACCAAAGAGCTACTCCCTTAACATCAATTCAGTATTCCAGCTGATGGATAAGAACGGAATGGTCAAATGGGGCCAAACGCTATGCATAGCTCTAACATATCAACAGTGATTATTGTCTGCTGTCCAGCTTTAAATGAAGATCATTCACCAGTGCAGATAAAGTCATCTTGGTTCTGAACCCAGGCCTGAAGCCAAACTGAAATGAGTCAAGGGCAGATCAACATTCTGGAGCTATCTGCCTCACTGGGGGGAAGCATAAAGTAATATACAAGCAGCCAGTATGTTTCTCCCAGTTGGGTAAAGAGTAGCACTGTTTGGGGTGGGGGGGAATTATGAAGAGAGAGGATTAACAGCCCCACACTTTGCTACTGTAGACTTGAACTGAATCAGGGCCCACTAACAGTTGTTGCCCACTAATGAAAAAAAAAGTGTAGGTGATCTATTCAGAGATATTCTAACACTGCACCTAGTTTGGTTCTCAAACTCTGGACTTCATTTCTGGTTGGCTGCAGTAAGAAACAGGATGCTGGATTAGACAGACAATTGTCTGATCCAGCGGAGCTCTTATCTCTCTAGCTGAAAAACTGGTTTGACAAACACACAAAGAAGACGGTAGCTTTAATGAAATTTCCAAACACTATCTCAAAATCTGTGCTTTCTGCTGCACACAAAAAGAATTAGTTGTTTTAGCATTCTATTACAATTGCTTAAGAACCTCTAAAATGTTTTCTGCCTGGAAGATTTGACTGTAGAACTAGAACCTAAAGCAGTTGTGCAGGAAAGGACTTGTTCCTGGGGATTAATTTTTTTTAAAAAAATGTGCCTTTATCTATAAAACCTTGGTAATCTTTTTTCCCTTGCTGTCTGCTTTTGTGTGTCATCATCAGACCAGTATTTGCTTTTCTGGATTAGCAATGTACTTAACACAGAGAGTTGCCCACAGCAACATATTATAACATCTGCAGATTATGATAAATCTGTGCTGGACGGGGGTGCCAAGGCATCCTAACCAATGCAGCTATAAATTAATATACCGTAGTTCCTCTACAAGCTTGTACATCACTACAGGGTCACTCATCTTGACAAATTGTTCTATACATTCAAAAGTACTGCATTCTATAGAAAACTCCATCTCATTGACAAAGGCAGAAATGGATGCAATTAGTGTACTAATAGTACTCAGGAGATCTTGCATCCAAGGGCACAGTCAATGGTTGTTCAGGCTTGCCACCTCTTATTCGCAGTGGGCCAAGTGCCATCCTAAAAGTCAGGAGCACTTTTCACCTACTCCATCTTATTAGAAGACTTACAGAATGTCCATGATGTCTTTGCTAGGGAAAAAGGCAGAAGAACCCCCCCCCCCCAAAAACAAAAACCCCCTAAAAATTTCAACACGTATTTGTTCTAGATTCCTTAAACACAGAACCAGAGGCTATGAAAAGCCCTGATCTAAAAACTATACTCAGGAGATTTTGAAACTGACAAATCAGAAAAGAGCTATTTAGTTAACAAACTTGAGCCTTTTATAATTAATTAGAGCCAACCATCATGCCTATTTTCTGTCATGGATGAGCCCTATATAAACAGATGAAGCTGTCTCAGTATTCTTATTTACAGGAACAGTTACTTGTCCCGTAACTCCACAGCAAACTGCCTGCACAGCCCACAGCAATGGCAACTGAAAGCAAGCCCTACAATAAAAATAATACATTACATGTGTGTGTATGTGCACTCACAAACAGACCCCCTTACCTTCACAATGCTTTTTAAATCCTGGACGTATGTCCTCTCTGTGTCCAGGATTTCTTGGACCACTCTGTCCACATAAAGGAGTTTTGGACTTGTGGGCTCACTAATCAGGGACATGACACAGTTTTTACTGGTTTCCTTTGATTCCACCTTCCATGGCATATTGGGCCTTCTTGCCAGACTTTCCTCAGAGGTCTGTTGCTCTACAGGGTTATTTTTTCGTAGTTCCTTGTTGGAAAATCGATGGGCTGGACTCAGCTCTAGATTTATAGCCCCTGATTCTTTATCCTGGTTGAATAAACCCAGATGACTGTTCGAGACTAAGGTGGTCCTGCTGCCAAAGGAACAGTGACTATCCCTGGAAGACGCAGAAGACGATGTGGAGCTAAAGCTGACTGGACGGTCACTGTCTGACAATTCCATGGTCTGGATTCCACGGTAGCGGAGCTGTCTGTTTTCTCTGTGCAGGTCTGCTCCTGGTGCCTTGGAGGTCGTGCCCACCATTACAGGAGGCAACTCATCAAGAGGCAAGTGGTAGCCATCTTAAAAAAAAAAAAAGAAATAGCTGTTATTGTTACCATTGTCATTACAAATAGCAAACAACTGTTATTAAAATACATAAATGTCTAAGAAAGAAGAAGTGACAATGTTAAATACGCTGGCATTAAATATGCACAATTTTTTCATATTGCTAGCTTGTTTTATCAGGTTCTCTCACCAGTTCCTTCCCACAGACTTGCAGTCTTGTAGCACCTACCTGGCTGCCTGTGTTGAAAAGGAAAACCTTTCCAACAAAAGGTTGAAACTTGAAACAAAAGGTTTTCAGACAAAACCAACCTGAGAAGCTTTTGTTAAAAGACTGATCTACACATTACAAGTGTGATCCACCAGCTGCTTTATGTTTTCTCTTCCCACTTGGGAAAAAGGTGACATAGGGAAGCTCATATTACATAGTTCAAGAACTCCTGCTATAGCATTTACTGCAATAATCTCCAGGTTCCACCTG